TTTGATCATACTGTTACGATTTCAAAATATGAACAACGCGGTTGTCTCGATAGTAAACCGTTTGTCTCGATAGAAAACCGATTGTCTCGATAGTAAACCGTTTGTCTCGCTAGTATCCATGGTCTCTTCTCTACTCGTCATTGTCGACACACCATTTTCAAAATAGATTGTGGCGCACTCGCCTTCGTTGTTGGAAATGGATGAGTCGTCGTCCATATTGAGAACAAACCCAAATAAGGCGACTGCGGCACCTCTCGACGCACGGTTGCAGTTTATTGTCGTATCAACGAGTCGCACCTGGGGACGAAATATAGGACCGGTGGGGTCAGCAAGGGAGGACAGGACAGACGAATGAAACGGAAGTGACCAGGAAACCCCTGCACTGCTCAAATCAGTTATTATTGTAAACCGTCAACGTCAGAACGAAACAATCTCAAACCCAAATAAACATAGCCATCAATAAACAAAATGTACATTGCAACCAAAATGGCCTAGCAACCAATAAACCAGATATGCATAGCAACCAGTAAATAAAATATGCATAGTAACCAATAAACAACATACGCATAGTAACTAATAAACACGTGACACAGACGTAAGGCAGGCATGACACCGCCGTCACTCGCCCGTCGTTGCGACTGTCACAGTCTGCTTGACTGAGACTCAGGCACGTGTCAATCTATGGCAAAAATACTACACGACACCAAACACCCCAGTTGGTCAGGACATCTTGTGAGTGTTCTTGTGTCGTATATCGATATTCTTCTGGCCCCTCTCACCCAGGTATAACATACCGCCCACTCACTATGACACCGTTCTGACACCTTTCTGACACATTTGACACACACATACTACGCGGTGTGCGAATGTCTTGCATAATATTCCCCACATCCACACAACCTCTTACATACCATATCACACAACTACACAACCTCTCACATACCATATCACATACAACTACACAGCCTCTCACATACCATATCACACACAATTACTCTCGTCTACCATATCACACACAATTACACAACCACTCACATACCATATCACACACAACTACATAGCCTCTCACATACCCTGGAGGCACGCACGGCACCCCCCGCCCTTCAGCGTAGTTGGACGTCAACGTCGTACGGTTCAACTCGAACAGCGAATTAGAATACACTGCACCCCCACTACCAGCACTGTTGTTGATGAAGCTGAGGGATTGTTTAACACATGGGTAAGAAAGCCATTGCTATTAATAGAACAGCCAATTAAAATACACCGCACCCCCACTACCAGCACTGTTGTTGATGAAGCTGAAGGATTGTTTAACACATGGGTAAGAAAGCCATTGCTATTAATAGAACAGCCAATTAGAATACACCGCACCCCTACTACCAGCACTGTTGTTGATGAAGCTGAGGGATTGTTTAACACCTGGGTAAGAAAGTCATTGCTATTAATAGAACAGCCAATTATAATATACTGCACCCCCACTACCAGCACTGTTGATGATGAAGCTGAGGGGTTGTTTTAACGCATGGGAAAGAAAGCCATTGCTATTAATAGAACAGCGGGGTGGTAGGTAGAATTTAGAGGGGGGAGCAACCTATATTCGTAGCATTAAGTTGCAATAGAATGACCGTTCGCAAGGCATGTGGTGGTTTACGAAGATGAAGTGATACTAATAATTTCATTGGAAACTGTTGATAAGACGTACTGATACTGATATGTTCATTGGAAACCGTTGAATAGAAAGTGACAGGGTCTGTAGGTACACGCGAGAAGCCGAATGCATTTAAATCGGTTTAACGCCGGGGTGGGAGCTCGTTTACGGGAACGAAACGGTAAACAACGCATCTGAGCAACACGTTACAAAAACCGAATGGCACGGCGTAAATATAACATCTCGAGGTATGTCAATAAATCAAACGGATTGCACGACGCTCTAACGTATTTGAAGGGAAAGAAAACAACACATGTGTCATGACCAGCGACATACCTCGCTCCTTCGATCACCGAATCTTCCTCGACATAGACAGCACCGCCGTACTGCTCGACCGTATTCTCCCTGGTATATGAAGGGTAGTATAAACTAGGTTTAAACACATCAAACATAAGTCACATACACCAAACCCCGACGCAGCAAAACAACACCAAAGCCACATGCCAGACCCTGAGCCATCCTTAGACTACAAACATTCTCACGATTCCCTCTCTCTATATCC